AGATGCCACCTGTGGCAGCACGCTGATCTTTTCGGTGCGCATAGGATGGGCGATTGATGACGTTAAACTTGAAATTTGTAAGACGTCAAACAGTTGGAAAGAGTCGGACACAAATCGCCACGAGGCTGGTACTTTTGGGTGATAATAGGAGAACCTGTTATTTGTATCCGTCATCTTTGAAGATTTTTGCTTTTCCAGCCGTTTTAGTCCTCCATGGATTTTCAATGCTCTAAAATTGCAGCGTAGAAAGCTTCAAACAATATACTTATATATAAGTACATTATTCTGCTCAAAACCAGATTAGTGATGCCACCACCTATTGAATCTCCTAAATCATTGCGGCGTCTTCGGCGCTGCCCGTAGTGACGTTGTGAGAGCACATCTGACCATCTATCATGTGCACCGTCGCATTGCGTGTACAGTATGACGTGCGTCAACGGCATCAACAGAAGACCCATTTGCTCATGCTGGAAGGCTCCCAGTCGAAGCTCAATACATTGCATTTTGCCGATGCACCCTGCAGGACTGTATTGACATCGATATCTCCGATTATAAATAGTAATTGTTTTCTTACCATTACAATGGAAATTGTTTCTCGTGTGCTCAGATTTTCAACGTGAGACTTGCCGCCAAGTCCTGATACGCACCAGTTCCTCCAAATCGGGATCTATCTCATCGCTCAGAGAATTCCTCGCATATGCGGTGAACTTTTTTCAAGCAACGTAGCACGTTCGATTGAGATTTTTTCGCGTCGGACTTGAGCCACTTCTAACATTTGGAAGGTGTTATTTTTATTAAACTAATAACATTTATACTGCAGAGTTAGCTTGCGGAGGTTTGTTGATAAAAACATCGAAGCAATCTAAATCGATGATGCAGCACAATAAGTGGTTCAATCTGGTACGTAATTGTGTAAAGTATAAGTATGGTGCTTGTTAGTGTGCAGTTTCCATCTAACTGCACTGCGGTTCCACACACACACACCGCTCGACAAGTTTTCCTCTCGGCAAAAGAAAAAGCTGCGCTGGTTCAGGTTTCCTTTTTACTAAAAAGAAAAAAATGAAATGAAAATAGTATCGCCTTAAGTACCAACAAAACGTAATTTCTCAAACACATCTGGTCACATGTCACCACACTTGGTTTCTGTATCTGATGTTCGTCTTGTCGACGAATAGAGCCAGTCCATTTGTGTCTTGATACAATAATTGAGCTCCACAAAAATAAAGCTCTCCAATACATTTGCTGTCTACAGCTGCACGGTATCTGACTGCATGCATGTAATAGCTGACAGCTAGCATAATTTCTTACCGGAGTTGTACGCCTTTGCAGTATTTCTCCTTTAGCAAACTCGGTCGCGCGAGCCACCAATTGTCCATGCCAGATGCAAAGTGAGAGCTGCGGCTGGTAGGATAGACTCTTCTCGGTTTCTGTTGTTTGCCAGCGATTACCGCCGTATTCTTGTATGTAGCACTGACGTGCCAGTGGCTGTATCAATGGCATCCACTCGCCAAAGCGTGCTGGCTACTGCACGTGCTCGCCTGCAGGTTACTCCAAAGCCACGTTATCCGATAGTTGAAGTCCGATAGTTGAAGTTTGTGGCCCACATAATTATGAATCGTCAAGCGACTCCAAGTTGCAGCGTGCTAAACACTATCGCATGCCTGTATTTCTCGAACTCGAGCTGGAAACGGAAGTCCCAAGGTGAAAGTTCCTCTCGGTTTCCTCACGCATATTTCGAAGTACTATGCGTGGCGGTTCCGTTCAAAGAGCATGCCGCGCCTTACATGCGACGCTGAAGGACCAGTGGAAGGCTTTCGGCAAAAGGCGAGTGTTCCCCAGAAGCTCTGATTGTCGTGCGCGTCGAGTGTCTTGCCCCACAGTGGTGCTCTTCACTTTATAACTATCGTCCAAGAACGCACAACAACGCTCTACAATGCAGTTCGTGGTTGCCACGAACGTGTTCGTCCTCGTGGCGATAGCCCATGCCACCACACTGAATATCTACAATCAATGCGATGAGTGCATCCAGTTCTACGATAACTCGGCAATAGAGACCATTACAATAGGCGGTAGTACAACACGCACGCTCGTCTCGGGTTTCAACGGCATGTTTCGCAACGGCGTCGGGCCGCAAGCTACACGTACGTTTGTCTTCATTCGAACTGCCCTCGTTAAGATAATTGCCGTTATGACGTATCGTGTTAACATGTATTGCAGTGGCCGAGTTCTCCATCACGGGTGGTTACATCTGGTACGACATCAGTATCATCCCGACAGGATCAATTGGGCCTGGCCACTGCGAGTCATTGGAGGCTTGCAAGGCCGTCACAGGAGGCACCGGTTTCAACACCGCTATGCAGATCTCACCTTCGGGGTGCACCACCGTCACCTGCATGGCCGATGGTTGTGCCGATGCGTACCAGTATCCGAGTGACGGTACCAAGACGCATGCGTGCCCTGACACAGCTAATATCAACCTGATCTTCTGCCCCGGAGGACCTACTTCTGCTACCACGCCTTCAGCTCCAATAATTCATCCTCTGACTACCGCAACTAGTACGACACCGTCGGCTCCGATGACGGCGGCTCTGACCACGACAGCGCAGCCCCACCTTCGGTCCCCATTAGGTCAACACCATAGCTAACGACTGCTGCCACAGCGAATGAACTAAAGTCAAACGAAATCCCAATACCTTTTTTTGGCGTTGTTACGGTATGTTCTTCAATAATATTGATAATATTAGATATTAAGTATCCAAATATCCAGATCTTCCCCCAGGCGCAGCACGGCATTAGTATCTGTACTTGGATGGGCAAGATCTTTAGGATAAATAGAAACCTACACTTTTTGACAGTTAAGTCGCAGCGAGCAGCGAAACAGGAACATTGCGTCCACCGATCAGCGGTGACAGTGACGATTTGACTGACGTGGCGGGGTGTAGGCTGAACTTCCCGGACGTGTCGATGGGTGGTGCACCTTTTGGCTCCGTGGTGTTGCATGCACTTGCACGCTGTGTGCAGCATCGGAGACTTCGATTGGCACCGAGCCTTCGGCGAAGCAGCCTCGACTCATGACGCAAAGTGCGTGACCGCCTTGGCGCACGCAAGCGTACTGTTGCCATCCATCGACCGAAGCAGTGGTCAAGGTCCGCCTTGATCGTCTCTACACCCCGGTTCATTTTCAATTTCGACTCTGGCCTCACACGTAGATCACACAACTGGTACCTAGTAAGATGCAACTGAAGCTAGTTGTTCCGTGGCTTGCTGCGTTGGCAACGGCGATCCAAGCCACAACGCTGACCATTCAAAACCAGTGCAGCGAAAGCATTGCACTCTACGACAATTCGGCCTCCGAGACCGTTGCCTCCGGTGGCAGCACTACCCGAACGCTGTCGTCGGGTTTCAGCGGCATGTTCCGTAATGGCGTCAGCGCCCAAGCAACGTGTGAGTTAGTCTTGACAAAAGTTACGAAATAGTGGGCAGATTTACTAACGAATTGACACGATGATACCGCAGTGGCCGAGTTTTCGATCACTGGCGGCTACACTTGGTATGACATTAGTATCATTCCTACGGGGTCGTCTGGTCCCGGTAATTGTGCGTCGTTGGGAGAGTGTAAGGCGGTGACCGGCGGCACGGGTTTCAACACTCCCATGCAGATTGCGCCGTCTGGATGCGCGACCGTCACTTGTCTTGAAGACGGTTGTGCGGACGCGTACCAATACCCAAGTGATGATAGCAAAACGCACTCATGTGTCAACACTGCCAGCGTTACGTTGACATTCTGTCCAGGAGGAACTAGCAGCTCAACGAGCATCACAACTCCAGCTCCTACTCCGACACCAACAGCAGAAGCTCCGATAACCCAGGCACCAGCAACCGAGGCCCCTGTCATTGTTCCGGTCACGGAAGCCCCCACTACTGCTCCTGTGACAGAGGCACCAACAACCGCCCCAGTCACTTCGGCTCCATCGATGACCCCATCGTCGGCCCCAACGACAGCACCAGTGACGCTGGCTCCAGTGATAGAAGCACCTCCAACGGAGACCCCGACATTAAAACCAACCACGGCAGCACCGACACCAGAGACAACCACAGAGACCCCCACGCTGTCTCCATCGCTCGTACCCACCCAGACTCCCTCGTCCATTCGGACAACCGAGTCACCCACTCCGGTTCCGACTGAAGCTCCAACGGAGACGCCGACCACAGCCCAGGTGTTCAAGTTCACCATTCCCACGGACGTACCCGTAACCGAGGAGCCCACAGATATCCCTACGGTTGTGCCGATTCCGACATTGTCTGCACCCTGGGAAAGCAGTAGGTCATCTTCCTCCTCAACGTCGTCCTCGGGATCTCAGAGTGAAGATACCATCACGTTTCCTCCCGAGGGCAACACAACCCAGCAAGCGGTAGCCTCAACGACAGTCTCAATTAAATCTGTCACGATTGCACCTACGTCGGCTGACTCAACCGGTCAGACAACGATAACTGAGACGGCTTCATCATCAGATACTCCTGTGAGGACCATTGTGGCGGCGACAGTGGGTGCTGTGGCGGTCGTCGGTGCCATCGCTGCGATCATCATGGTACGTCGCAAAAAGCAACAAATGGATGCTTCAGCTCTTAAAGACGACCTCGAATGGCTTGATGAGTTTTCGGGTATGGTGACACCCGTGACTCGAATCCCCACCATGTAAGATTTCCTGCTCAAGCAAATCTACACCTCAAGTACAAATCGGTGCGTATTAAACGGCTACCACGAATAACACCTTTGATCGATACGTGTATCTTGAGCCACTTCGTCACTACTCGACACGGAATGACATACGTGTATATCGAGCACTGCGAACGTTCTCTACACTTTCAACGATGACATGGTGATAGTGAAATTTGAGGATCTGAACTCGTTGGAGTACACTTAATCAATCAAAAAATAGCCCATATTTTTAGCAGAATGGTCGAGGACGAGATACCTTCGCCGTCTGATCTTACAATGGTGCTGGTGCTGCAGGAATCGAAGATGCTCATGCACTTGTAAACTTCCTTCTACAGCGTTAAGAGCTACCGCGTCTTCGTGACTATTTCGCAATGCAGCTTCACATGCTAGTGGCGACGTTTTTGGCGACGTTTTTGGCTGCAGCCACGACAGTAGATGCAATTCCAGTGAACTTCTACAACCACTGCAGCACTGTTATCGAGCTGTACAACAACACATATACCGAGATGATCAATCCAGGCTGCAGCACGACTCGCCATCTCGAAGAAGGATTTAGCGGGATGTTTCGGAACGGATGGAATCCTCAAGCAACTCGTACGTATTGCTGTCAAATAGACCTTGAATGAGTGAGCTAACATGGCTGTTTATTTTTGCAGTTGCCGAATTTGCAGTATCTTGGGGATTTTTGTGGTACGACATCAGTATCATCCCCACAAGTCCTCAGAGTGGAGTAAGTAAATTATGCGCAACTAAACAAAGTAATTCACTTCATGTACTAACCTATGCCTTATCTGTAGCCTGACAACTGCTTGTCGCTCGAAGACTGCAAGAAACATACTGGTGGGGTGGGTTTCAACACACCAATTCAGATCGCTCCGTCCGGGTGCACGACAATCACTTGCCTGGTTGATGGCTGCGTTGACGCCTACCAGTACCCCACGGACGACTGGAAAACACACGCATGCCCCGACACAACACCCAACGTTGACGTGACTTTCTGCCCGGGAGGATCTAGTGTAGTAGAGACGCCGGCACCCACCAAGCCAAAATGCCCTCGCCGCTGTACCGCTTCACTGCGCAGTTAGCCACGTTAGAATTTGCACCTTACGAATAAACTATAAGCTCTTGATAATTGTCCCCTTCTCGTTGAAACTCACGATTGACGTTCAGACTTGAAATGATTAGAGCATCAATTTTGAATATTCGTCAAACATCTCTCGTTCAAGCCCTCTACTGAGAACTCCAAGTGGTCTTTTGATAGATTTCGCTTTCTGCTCTTGTTACTACATATATTATGCGTATCAGATATTTTTCCTGCTAACAGCTGTCGCCAGCAGCACTGACCTCCGTTTCGTGATGGCGAAAAACAGCAATTAGGGACTTCACCGAGTCGCCGTGGTGCGCTGCTGAAGCGAATATCAGTGTTGAAAGGGCTTAATGTTGCCTCAAACGACGGGGAACGAAGAGAGAAGCGCTTTCAACCATAGATAATCATTTTAGAATTTGGTCCAGTAGTGTCACAAAATAGGCGCCAGATATTGTGCTCCGAACTAAAAACCATAATTCTTGGATCGAGTATGGAGAATCTGGCAGGGGCGACCGAGTTGGTGTGGGTGCACAAGTGTGGGCTTACCTGAACCGCGACCCCAATGACAAGTGTCGTGACTGCGCGGACGGTGAGGATGCTGTGTGTGTAACCCAGAATTAGTTAAGGTCAGACCAATTAGAGTGAAGGGTGTAATTAAGTTATCAAACCAGGATCTACAATTAATTCTAAGCTTGATGAAATCATTTACTTCAGTGAATATACACGTTATGCGCTGTTGTACATTGCGCCATATTGGTAATGATCGATACCAACAAGTCTTTGCAGACACGAATTGCATATTCCAGGTAAAACATCGCACTGCGAACGTACTACGAACGCGGAGTTGTATGGCCACTTGCAGTTCCAAGCGCACCGTTGTCGACGGTAGACCTGCGTATCATGCACTGCAACGCAGTAAAATAATGAACTCGCTCGTATCGAATGGCTTGGCAATAATGGCTTACTTGAGGAGGCCACAGGATGTGGCTCAAGACGCTCCCTGCGACTTGTCACACTTACATATCTGGTATTTTTCTCCCTTGGCGCGTTCCACGCACTGTGTGGAGCTCTAAACTAAAACTTGCTTGCAACTGGTATCGCAGTGGTGCCTGGCGAACAGCGTACACTTGTGCGGACATCTGAAGTGGTCTTCAAATAAAATTAAGCCCGTATAATTGATACTTGATATAAAGTACCTTTCTAATACTAAAGTATATTTGACGTAGAAATTGATAGTCGGCGAAATAGGATACAAGACAGATTCTCAAGAAAGTGGTTGAAGTCGCTTTTTGCCTGCAACCCTATACACCCATTACAAATCTCAACAATTTAGACTTGGCTTCACTATTGTTCCGTTGATACGTCGCTGAAAGACAGCAGCTTTGCTATCGATCACATGGTCCACAACGCAAAAGGCTTGGCAGCACTAGCGACTTGCCATGGCGAGGCGTGCGATCTCTCTGCTAATGCTGGCAACGGCGCCGGTCACCGCCACGAAGATCCAGGCGGTGAATCTCTGCAACGGCACTATGGAGCTCCATATCGGAAGTCATGGCGACCCCATCACTATCGCACAGGGCGCCGGCCATAGCTTGGAGCTCACGGACGGCAGCAATGCAGCGTACCGATACGGCGCTTCGTATCAAGCCACACGTACGTTTTGCAACTGGTTTCTTCCATTTTCGCATTAAATAATTGTTAGTCACTTTCTACTCTTTTTGCATTTTCAGAGGCGGAATTTGCCAATGTTGACTCCAGCACGTGGTATGATATTTCCATCATCCCCGCAGGCAACACCGGGGTGCGTGCAAATGGCAACTGCCAAAAGTCAAAGCAAAAGGCAAGTTCATTGACAATTAATGTATGTTCGGTTTAATCTCTTCAGCCAGGTTCATGTTCCAGCCTCGAGGACTGCAAGGCCGTGACAGGAGGCTCAGGCTTCAACGTGGCAATGATGATCGTCCCTAGTAGCGGAGGAGGACCCAGTTCCACTGAGACTTGCAGAGTTTTGCGTTGTCTTCACGACGGCTGCGAGGACGCCTACCATTTTCCAGATCAAGACGCTCGAACACACAGTTGCAGCGCAGAAATCGAGTTCCAAGTGATTTTCTGTGCCGAAAATGCCCCAGAGACGACGTCCGACTCGGCTGCAGATTATTGGGTCAAGGCTGGTAATTCTACTGGTTCTGGGAGCACTTCGGACTCTACTGGAGGCAGTTCCAACTCCTCGTCACAATCAAATTCCAACTCGGACGTTGAGTCTCAATCCGCAACAACACCCGAGCCATCAAGTAACAAAGAGAAAACAGTTAGCACTGGATCAGAAGATTCGTCCGGAACATCGGCACTAGTTTATGTGGCTGCGGGGGTGGCAGCGGCCGTGGTGGCTCTCGTGGCCGCTGCATTTGTCTTCAAAAGAAGACACGCCATCGCTTTCTGGTGGGAAACTAGGAATTATCAAAAGCACGAGCCACGGAGCTCGGACGAACTCGGATTCGTGCGAATATCGGACGATGCAATGATTTAGAAAGAGTAGATAAGAAATTAGATAAAATACGACGAACGCGGTTTATAAATATGAACGATGGCAACATTTTCACTTTTGTCTGCGTCGTTTCACACCCAGATTCGAACGCGTGAAATAATGGGGAACGGCCAGTCTCGCGACGGGTTCGAAGGTGTGTTGCCGTCCGAGTCGGGGGTGAAAGCCACTGGAACAGCAAATCCTGAGTCGCCTACGATTTCTGACGCTTGGACTGCTACAACGACCGATTCCAGTGCTGTGGTAGATCCTGATGCCGAAGTTCCTCCGGTTTTTGTCGGGAAGATCGTTCCGCCTGGTCACGCGCTGCAACAGGAGGAAGATACTTCGCGTCTGCGTCTTGAAGCAAGTGATGTCGCTCGTGCATTTAACAACACCGACAGAGTTGATGACCCCTTTGTGATACCGGAGAGCGTACGGAAGTCTCGGACACTGGATGCATACGCCGACGTGTGCTCCGAGATTTTACCGGGATTTTTGTTTGTGAGTAACTTTCGAGTTGCATGGGATACGGCAAAGCTGCGAGCACTTGGAATCACACATGTAATTAACTGCTGTGGGGAGCTGAAACAGTACGAAGATGGCGTTGAAAAGCCTGAAATACCAGCGTTTAACACATTAAGGTTGTTGTTAAGAGATGACGCAAACGAAGACCTGACACCATTCTTTCCTCAAGTAATGGAATACATTGCCACTTCTCGACAGCGATCTGAGAATGGCACAAAGGAAAAGGTTCTCGTGCACTGTCACCAAGGTGTTTCTCGCTCTTGTGCAATTGCCATAGCGTACGTCATGCTGGAGCAACAACTGTCATACCGTGACGCTGCTGCAATGGTAAAGCGCCAACGTGCAATCTCGAGTCCAAATGCTGCATTCATTTGCCAACTTCTGGAGTGGGAAAAAGATTTGCAGGCGATGAGAACATGTGAGAACGAGACTACTAGTTTAACTTTAGGAGGGCTGTATCGCCTGACTCCTCACGCTAACTATGATCCAGAATGCCTTGTGCTTAAGCGTTGCTATGAGACTAGTACGGGGTCTGCTCGGCAACGACAGAATATGGCAAATGTGAAAACACCAGACGACGAACAAAGACTACTTTGGTCTCATGGCACTTTTGTGTTTCAAAGCCCAACAACTGCCACTGATTTAATTGTCTGGAAAGGCTCTGAGTGTGAGATTTCCGAAGCAATGCCAAGAGCAAAAGAACTTGCACATCAATTGTTACGTTTGCAGGAACTTGTTCAGCATTCCGACGCTACAATGCAAATGAGGATAGTCGAGGTACAGGACCACGCAGGATCGGGAATCGACCACTTTGGCTACACTACTGAGTTGCAATGGAGTCGGGAATCAGTGTCTAAAATGCCATTACTTCTGCCCACGAATGAAGACGCTGGCACCTCTACAACCAACGGTACCAGTGCTGATAAGTTGGAAGAGAGAGCTACAGATGCCGAGTCCGTTCCTCAACTCTTCATTCTAGAAACTATTGGAGAATACGGCGATGACTCGTGGGACCAGCTGACAAACTACGATTCGGAAGACTTGACATCAGACAGCGCCTTCCTGCTTTGCTCGATTAGGTCGGAGGGAGTTGCTGAAGCTTACGTGTGGATTGGTACCAGCTGCAACTATACACCCGACATGATCATTCAAGCATCGCAAAAGCACATACAGATCCTGTTAAAAAGAGACTCGTCACCGTCACTGATAGTTGAGCATCAGAACCAAGAAAGCGACGAGTTTTGGGAACTCTTCGAAGCGGGATATTAGATTGGATGACAACTATGTAACATCGTGTCACATTTAGTTTTCTTAGGTAATTTTTCCATTCACTTAATATCCTTCTTTGTCTTTGCTTGTGACGCTGAGTTCGACTTGGCCTTGATACAGGCACGTCGAATGTCCGGCAGTAGTGCGTTTGCAGCGTCAGAGAATGTGATTACGTCGTGGTTAAATGGGTCTAACGCCTCAACAAGCGTCGTCACTGTGCTTTCTGCCTTCGCTGGTGCTAATCGTCGAGTAAGTGTGACGAATCGAGCCTGCAACCAACATACAATTATAATTTGTTAGCATCGTCGTACATCCTAATTCAATGTGTTTTTACGTACTCTGGTGATGACACCAACATGTTCAGTATCGAGCTCTTCAAAAGTTCTTCGAAAGCCTTCGAGTAAGTCCAGTCGACCTTGTAGTTGGTATCCGTACAAAACTTGCTCAAAGTCAGCAAAAGGTAGCTCCAGATTTGGTTTTTCGTTTGCCTGAGGTTTCTTCCTCTGTATTTGAGTTGTCTGGTATTTCTCCGCTTTGTGTTGAACCAAACTCAGTAACTTCGCGCTCTAAATGATCGAAGCAAAGTCAATAAAAAGTAATAATCATAAAAAATAGTAACGTACATCTTGCGGTTCGTAGAGATATGTGAGGACATTGCGCCACTCCTCTTCGTGAATCAACCCGTCTATCCGGGTTTGAACAAGTGCAGCGATGGCTTTACCTTGCTTCAGCGGGTACTTTGCCGAAAAGAACGCTCGAAGCAGCTCTACCAGAGCAGACTGCAACTTTTTCTTAATTTCCAGAAACCCTTCATCCAGTCGATTGCGAAGTAGCGCCACAAACACAGCTGCATCATTCTCACGTCGAGCAAAATACTCGGCTGCTTTCCATACAGCGCTGGCGTGTTCCACAATGAGTTTTGGTAGACCGAAACGAGTGTTCAAGTAAGTGTACAAATGCTGCTCCATCGTTTCGCGTGGTGCCCCAGCAGTGGTGGCTCGGATGTCATATTTGACCTTAGACGCGTACACGCAGTTAATGAGATCCACCAGTTGTTTCAGAGATAAATTTCGGACAGCTACTGTTGTCTGAGGTGCCGGTGGTGCAATAATTTGAGGAGGAGAAGTTAGCGTCTCTGGCTCATGAGTATCATTAACTGATGGCACTGCGCCGGCTTGATCACTGTTGCTTCTTCGAATCTGTCGTGTTGTTTGTTTAGTAGAGTTGAAGTTGTCCGTTGTTCTGGCAGTGATTTTAGACGTTCCAGATTTTAGAATCCCCTTGCCGTTATTGTGTACTCGTTTGAGTTCCAAATTTTCCAGTTCAACCTGTTCACGACGAGCTGTTTCTTGCTGAAGTTGCAATTGTACAGCTTCTAAATCGCTTTCGAGGTTTTCAGCCACATCGAGTAGCTGTTTAAGCTGTAGGTTTTGTCCAGGTGCTGCTACTTCCGTTGTACTTTGAGCTTGAGTTTGAGTCTGCTGTTGTGCTTGCATGGCAGATAAAAGCTGCTTCTGCATAGCAAGCAACATACCGAAGCCATTGCCAAGCCCAGCGTCAGCCTGAGCCACTTTCTGCGATCCAAACATTGCACAGACTTCCAGTAAACTCCATCGAGTCTGCAACATGGCATCGGAGAGCTCAGCGTTGGGATCTTCTGGTTCCTGGCGCTTTAATTGCTGAGCTAACAACTCTACATGGCGATCTAATTGAGCAAAAAGCTTGGCTTTAGATGCGCTGTTAGATTTACCATTCGAATCGGATTTGTGAAAGGCCTTGACGACTGCTTTAAGTTGCTGTAAGAATGTCTCTGTTGGCACGACGTTCGTCCCCGAGTGAGAGACTGATGATGTACTTTGAAGTGGCTTTGAGACTTGAGAACGATTCACTTTGAGCAACTTGCACCAATCGGTCCGGTCGTCTGAAATACTCGCAGGAAGCTCGGTTGGTTTCACGCTGTTCTTCACATTGCGAGCTGAAACATCAGATTTAGACCTTTCAGATTCTGAAACGCGAACTCCGTTTTTCTTCTGTGTTGCTATCGAGCTCAAATTCACTTTAGCTAATGGGGAAGCACAGAATTGCTGAAGTTCATGTATCGTCGGACTCGTTGGGTTGTCTTCACTTCCGGATCTAGAGGACAGAAGTGGGGTACCATTTAGAATGCGCAGTCGAGGGAGCATGGACAATAGTACTTGCTCTTCGGCAGGACTTGATAGTGACAGACTCAAGCTCTTCAAGCAAGGACAGTGTTGCAACGTTTCTCCAAGAGTTCTCAGTGCTCCCATTCGAAAGCGAATATTGTTGTTCAACAGGTTCAAAGCCACAAGTTTAGGTAACCGGGACCCAAAATCTTGTGGGAGTTCTTGCAAATCGTTATCACGCAAATCCAAATGTCGAAGTCTGGGGAAATGCTGTTGGAGGAAAATAAACACTTCGTCTGCGTTTTCTTGCGAGAGATGTCGACCACGAAGACTCACGCGCTCTGCATTAGGATCGGAAGCGTAAAGTTGATGAAGCTCTTCCATCGCTGTCATTGCCGCTGAGTTGCCACTGCTAGTCGTGCTACTAGTCTCTTCATGGTCAGTGGGGCTCTTAGGGGCAATGGTCGAAGGCTGGGCCACTTCGCTCTCCATTTGCTATAATGTTTGCTACTCTATGATAAACTCCACATTCAGACAATGGGATAAGGTCAAGCTAAACAGAGCCATCTTTAAAGCAGAAAATAGCGCTCATCCGGATTTGGATCACGCTTCGGATCACCAAAAACATGAAACGAACTGCTTGTTGCAGGAAGATGCAGCGTAGAGGACGCTGTCCTCCAGTGTCCTCAATTTATCCTTTATGAAATGATGATGTTGTCTGGTATCAATCCATAGGCACTCGTTCATGTTCTCCCTTTCCATTCTGGAACGGCATCCGGCAGTTGATGAGACGTCGGAATGAAAAGTCGCACATAACGCTGAAGAACAATCGATAACTAGGACGATGGAGGTTGCTGGGAATGAATTGCTGGCGTTGAATGATCTTCTCACGGGTATTCAGAATGCACAAGATGACTACGAAGAGGTAGAATCTCGCCAGTGGATTGGTGTGGTATCATAATCTAACTCGCGTTTGTTGATGCGATAAAGCAAAACCAAACACAACAGGTCACGCCACATACCCTTAGTGGAGCTGATAAGCTACCAGAAGGTGCGGATATCACTCTTTTAATTTTCATATCTGGACTCTATCGTGACAGTAGTATTCGTCAGTGACTCGGCCTATCGGTCAGATCCGTCAGGAAGATCCCAAAGCGATCTGGTCGATGGATGAAGTCCCAAGCGATGACGAAGATGACGATTCCTTCGAGACTCGAGCACGTCCCAAGTATGGCTATTCTTCTCGTTTAAAGTTACTGTTTTCTAATCTAGTGCACTAGATTTGAGATTCTCTACAAGCAGAGTGTCATGACGGAGGACGTTTTCCTCGGACTGAGCGACAAGGATCCGTCGTCAGCTCACTGCGAGGCGATGGTGGTGCGCGTGGAGTGTCCTAATCACCGCCTCGAAGATATTGAACTGGACGTGAAGCGACAGAAGCTGTTGCTATTGTCGTCGAAGTTGTACGTGGCATCTTTAAGTACAAATTTACGATGGATGCCAACTTCAACTTGCTGTCTGCAGGAAGCTCGTGTTGCATCTGCCGTATCCAGTGTGTCACCTCGAAGGTCAAGCAAAATGGGACCACAAGTCTCAGTCCCTCTCCGTCTCGCTCCCAATTATTCGAGACGAATGGTAAATTCGCATCACGAGAGAACTAGCAGAAAGTGGCCTCTTAATGTACCCAAGGCACTATTTCATTTCGCTCTTCAACTGATTTGTGCTATTCTTCTGTATACTCACGGTGTTTCATGATTCGAATTTTAGCCAGTCAGAGGCCACTCACACACTTTTACCGTTGTCCATGGCGCTGCTGTCGTCTCCGCGGCTCGAGGCCGTCCGCCTCATCCGCGAGCAGCTCAGCTGTACATTATGGTAGGTAGACACCCTTCTCTCCGTCCACAATGATCACTGCCTCATTGCTCTTTAACTGTAGTGGTAAGATATTCCAGGACCCGCAGTGTCTCGACTGTAAGCACAACTTCTGCCTCCAGTGCATCCTGTTACACCTCAAACAGAACAATTCCCACTGTCCAATATGCCAATTACCTACGAGACCTAGTGAAGTGACTCGGAATCAGTTCTTAGAGAGCATTCTGGCTGCCTGGAATGGCGTGGAGACGGAACTCGAGGCTCTGAACGGAGATCCAGCGCTACATGCCACCAAAATTACAGTATACGACACAGATAAGGCCCTCCATCGAGCTACCAGTGGCTCGGGTACTGCTGGAGCTTCTACTGTGGATAACGAGGAGGAAAAACACAAGTCTCGAGGCCCAGTAGCCAACAACAAGTGGAACATTGACACACAGGAGATTCGACAGGAACTCAAGCTGGAACAACCGTATTTGCCGCAAAACTATGGCTCAAGACAGGGTAGTACCGCTCATTGGAAGAAAACAAGCAGCAGCGACTTGCCTGATGACTATGCTGGGAGCGCGAGTGCGAGATACGGGGAAGAAAATAGAAGCAATGGCAGGAGGAGTGAGAAATCGTCTAATATGTCACTGGCTGAAGATTCTGAAGAGAAGACACAGATGAATGGACATGCTGAAGAAGAGACGCAGAATGACGGATTCTTGTCAACACAGATGAACAGTTTAATGGCGACGCAGGAGGTGGAGAGTTATCTCGATCGGATTACTAAGCAGAGAGAGGCGTTGAGTCAATGGGAACGGAATCATCAAGGAAAGAGTGACGATAACTCGTCGCTGCTGGATCTCGAGCGCTCTCTACACAGCAGTAATAGTTTTGATGAGCTGCTTAAGGAGAGACGAAAAGAGTCGCAACATGATGAAGACGGCGACTTATTGACGCAGATGACCCAGATGACGCAGATGCCGCCAGCTACGAGCACACTGGAGTCACCAGACCTACTGGCCACGTTCCGACGGCATACAGACAGCGATCGACGGCCAGCTAAGCGGAGAGTTCTGCTGTCGTCCCCACTGCCATTACATCCTCGAGGTCGAATACCTTCGCCGTCACGGAAGAGACTACGAATGCCTACGCCTCAGGATAAAAAGTACCAGACGTATGGACGCGGCTCTGCGGCGGCTATCGATCTGTCTCGAGTTGATTCAGATGAGGATAATGAAGTACCGGACAGTCAGCCAGCAATGGTACTACCGGATCAAGAGTATAAGTCATCGGATGATAGTAGTGGCAGCGATGATGATGATGGAGACGAGGATTATAAAGAAGAGTACGAGATGAAACCTGCAGTGCCGCTACCGTCATCGCCCGAACACAAGAGCTCAACCTCTGATCGACACGATGCACGGTTAAGAACTTCGCTACCTCGCAAGAAAGAGCGCGTCAGTGATGATTTCCGTAGTGCCATCACAGCTTTTCAGTCTGAAGAGAAGCGCGTCGATAGTCCCAAGTCCCAAGCAGCAAAGCAGCTAGTGTCGTCTGCATCCCACGCCAAAAAAGCAGCTAAACCAGAGGCAAGGGAAAAAGACACAAGACCAAGCTCAGCTGGAAACCTGAAGCCTCCCGTACATTGTAGCAAGCCGCAACGAGTGGCCAGTAGTGACACTGGCTTTGTCTTTGTGAGTTCTGATCTCGCCCGTGAGGAGGTGAAGCGCGTTCTGGAGGCAACTCAGCGACTAGGAGGCAAGTTTGGACACGACTTTGATCTCAAACGTGACCCAGTTACAGGTCATTTCTGTACATCTGTGACGCATTTGATCACCAAGGCTGTGCCTCCTATTGGCGCCAGTAATGGAGCAGACCCAGACGAGTTGCGATGCAAACGCACGGCCAAGTACATGCGCGCATTAGCTGAAGGAAGCTTCGTGATGGATTTCTCGTGGGTCACTGCCAGTCTCGCAGCGGGCAGATGGCTAACAGAAGACCCATTCGAGATGATCGGAGACATCTATAGTGACGCAGTGGGGAAGCCACACGAAGGGCACATCCGTCGTGTACAAACTGGAAGACGCAACAGCATTTTCAGTCTCTTTTGCTTCGTGTTGCTCGTGTCGGAGAAGGAGTTCGACTTTCAGTTCGCATCTGTGAAAGCTCTGGTTAATAACTTTGGAGGGACTGTCGTACACGGTGAGAACTTCTCTAAGCTTAACTCGAAGCAGCGTTCACGTCGCACTCCAGTCGGCGTGGTGTCCAAGACTACATTGCCTTCTGATGCCAAAGCCAAGTGGCAGCAGTTCCAGATCCCCATTGTGCGCATTACCTGGATCTTTGACAGTGTGAGTCACCTTGAAGTGCTGCCGTTCGACGACTACTACCCGTATTAAGGTCTGAATTTATACACTGGAAAGCGTGTCAGATGCGTTGGTTTCTTCTTAAAAGGCCTATCATAGTCTGCTGTCCTAAGCTCGGACACTCTTTCTTTACCGACTGTTTTTCCTCCCCTCGACCGCCTTGTCTCCGTCCACAGGCACCTGCATCTCGAAAATGTCCAAGTGGCCTTCGTTCTTTACTGCGATATTGATATTGGCTCCGTTAGCCACCTTGATGTGACGCTGTACGCACTCGAGCAGCTCCTTCTGTAGTGCCGCGAGATCCACACCTGCCAGCACCTGCGAGCCGCGCTGGTGCGCCAAGATGATCTGTAGTCGCTCTTTAGCTACCGACTTGGACGAAGACGCCTGCTCTGCCTCCCCGAACAAAGACGCCAGCCACTTCTTGGCGCCGTGGCGAGAGCTCGCACCGACGCGCGCTGCCATCTCCTCTCGACTCTGGATATGGACGACTGAGGGCTGGGGCTATGGTTTAACGTGCTGTTTTTAACCAATGAAAACATTTTAAGAAGATCATTTATGACGAATCATGATTGATTATGGAAACAAAAACGAGATTAACGTCAAAGACCTCGTTTTCGCACTCACAACTTTGCTGTGAAAGTTCGGCATTAATGCTTCTGTTCTAGTGCTATTGGTAAGTTAATGTGTTTTGTGGGAGATTGGTCAGATAACTATGAAGTCAACTGGATCCTTTAATTGTGAGCGCAGCTTTCCAAAACGGAGACCGCGCTCTCACCTGTAGTGTTCCTCATTCCAATCTCAAAGCGATTTAAAAACTAACTACCTGAAGCTTGATGCGAGTGCGAGGGTATTCAGCTGAAAATTGAAAAGTTACGCTTGGTTCTCGTCACGTTCGGAGGAATGCGTTCCAGCCGTCGGACAGGGATAAGTTTGAGTCATCATGATACGCACTCGCACTCGCTCTGCAAACGCCTTACTGTAGACTTGAACCTTTCACTACAATCCAGGCACTTGTCAACCCTGACGTCGTAATACACGCACCAGATACTGCTAGCTACTCGTTTGAGTGATCAGTCAAGAGGGAGTGACCCCTCGGAAACAGTTCTCTTCATCCATAATGAGTCGAAGCGAGCTGGGTTAAATACTTGTCATCATTACACTCGCACATACATACACGTAGAAATACACTTGAGGGGAATGTTCATGCACAGAGCTGTTAATCAATGTGCTGTGAAGTACTCGACACGTAGTTTTCAGCCTGGGGCGGCGACATTCATGATTTTCGAATCATCACATTCCCGATGGTAGTAAAGGACACCCATACACGCACTTGTAGAGACCGCAGACGCCATCCGTGCTGCTGTTGCAGAGGCGACAAAAGGTTGAATGTCTGACGTGTTTCGTGCTATCGGATTGCCGCCAAAAATGGATGGTGGAATCAAAGTTGAACCGGTTACGACTTAACCGACGATACGGTTCGTAAATACTACGATTTGATTGGTTGAACAATATTCTTAAATACATGGGACGTAAAATACAGACAATTCATAAATCACGTGTTGAAAATTCGTGACGCATGCTGATTGGCTCGGATGGCATTCAGACGAAAAAAAACCATTAAAATTATAATGGGTTTTTTTCGTCTGAATGCCATCCAACGGCATGGTTCATTTGGGTTATTCAGAACCAACTCAAAAAAATCCAATTTTGGTCGTAATAATATAGGCTTGTTGGCTTTATAAGACATAGTTCCAAAAACTCGTCGTGACGCATGTTGATTGGCTCGGATGGCATTCAGACGAAAAAAACCCATTAAAAATTTAATGGGTTTTTTTCGTCTGAATGCATCCAAGCCTATATTATTGCATATCGAACTTTCTACAAGTTTCGTTGTCGTTGAGTAATAAAATATGGCTGGAAGTCAGTACTGATAAATTGGATGTTTTTCAGTGTGATATTTTTTTGGACGACAAAATTGTCGTTATCGTTATGTACTGCAATAATTATATCAAATTGAATTTACTTTACAGTAGAACACAAAAGTGTTGGCACAATTCATTTTTATTATGACGCTAGACTACGATAGTCACAGCTCGGATAGCGGTCTCCAGTGATCATCTGCAGCTTGGCGTCTGATTGCCCAGAAAAACTGAGAATGTTCTCGAAAACGTGTTCGTTTAGAGCGCAGAAGCGGTAGGACCGCGGTTGATGAGCTTCTGTCCATGCATCTTTGCTCGTGCAGCGATTCTGGTAGTGCTTGAGCCCTCGAGTTAAAAACGTCTTCTCGCAGTACTCACAGACAGAATTCGGGGCCGTATCGTCACCAGTGGGCTGAGATTGTTTTGCCTTCTTCCGAACGCGGCTTCCTCGAGTACCCGCCTCGGAGCCATGGAAATTGAAGCTCAAGAAATACTTTGAAGTCTTATTAAGTTTTAGAAACGGCAATAAGTGTATGATTTTCTTAGTCTTAGAAACAACGATCCAATGCTTCGACGAGCATTATCCGTTAAATGGGAAAAAAAAAAAAACGAGGGAAGAAAAAGGCGCGCGCGTCATATGTGGATACTACCACTGCAAAGGAACTTCATTCACTCCTGTCTGCTGTACCCATCGATGGCTCTTTGCCCTCTAGATTTCAATCAGTCTTCGTTTTTCTTCCATTGGCTGAACTGACGGGGTATTCTCCGAGTTTGGCATCATGACGAATGACTCTCACGACCACGGCGCTACTAGCAGTTTCGAAAGGAAACAACATCTCGACGGTATTTCGCATCAATCCTCAACGTGCACGTATTGTAAGAAGACGTTCGAAATTCCGGCGTTCTCACGGCACCAAAACCGATGCAAAGCGAAGAAGGGGAACAACAAACATTGTCAGACATTAACGTTTTGCATCCTGAACGACTCTGTGTTCCAGCATATTCTCAGTTTCCTTACTAACCAAACGCTCACCAAGCTGCAGATGATTACAGGACTTCGATATCCAGACTGCAAGCCTCAGCTAGCCAGATACTGCTGCAAGTGTGAGAACGACAATCCTGTGATTCTTCGTGGACTTTGTCGAGAGTGCGAAGCAACGACAGAAGGATACGAACCCCTCGTAAGCAAGAAAGTAGCAAAAGAGCGATACTGTGTTAAGGACATCTTAGCGATACCGTGTCAAGACCGTAGAAGCAACACGCTATATGATCGAGTTGCGTTGGAGAATCACATGCTCACATCTTGCGGGTCGAAGTTGAGGTGGTTACGAGTCATCGCGAAGCGAGGTATCTACAGGAAACAACAGGAGACTGCTACACAACGACGAGAATATGAGAGACGATTGTTTCTTGAGTCTCTGACAAAAGGATTCTCGTCGTACGTCGAGAGTGTATCGTGGAAAGAGACGAACGAAGACAAACTAGAAAGCGCCGGTAGCCGGTTCGTCGTGCTTTCTGGAGCTCTGGAGACCCGCGGTCTTCGACTCCGAGTCGATTCGTATATCTGCAAAGAGTTCATTCTTTGGGGTTATGGATACGTGAGTGATGTGGTTGATACAATGGAGGAAATGAACTTCCTCTTTACTCATACCGATTACGAACAGCTTTGTGCGCAGCGCATTAATGCATTACAGGACGAGTGGGGTGGCTGGTTTCGCCGTGAGTTGATGAACGACGTGGTCCAGAAATGTCGGGAAAAGCTGAAAGCACAGCTGTGCATCGATTTTCTCGTCGAGAGCAGGGGGATTGTTCTACCGCAAAAGTGGGAAAGCTGTCGTCCGAGGTTTGAGGAAGTAACGTCGTTGGGCATCGAGCCAAAATTGCAGGCACTTTACATTTACTCGGGGGTAGGATGCCCCCAAACTTCGCAAATGTGAGGACTACAGGTCCAACGTCAATTAGACAACTTCTATGAAAACCGAAAAATGAATACGTTCTAAAATTCAAGTCGTGTGCATGGATACCAAGGTACAGTACCAAGCGAATATGCAAGATTATAATATTGTTTTCGCACAAACTCAAGTCTGGGACCATTCTGAAGCGAGTTTATCGTTCATGGTTCTCAAAGGTCAATCATCGTGTTGACGGATAATCAGGCGTTGCTGTTTCAGGTGCTAACTCCAATGGATTCTGCGTAGTTAGATCGGGTCGCGGCTTTTTCTCTCATCCTCTCCTCGCTTATCTCGATGCTGTACTTGCTTTTTAATTGGAGCTGTCCAGTCCGATGCGGGCACGGACTTCCTGCCTCCGGGTCTCTTGTTTCGTAACCATTGACTCGCTTGCAACGCGGACAGCAGAGGTCAGCTGCTGGGGGCTGTTCTTGCTCTCCTTCTCGATCAGATAGGCCTCGTATTCGGCCGCCACGTCGGCGCGCTCTTCCACGCGCGTCGGATGCCGACGAAGCATTGGATCGTCGTTTCTAAAACTAAAGAAAATCATACGCTTCTTGTCATTTCTAAACCTGAGAATGATTCAAAATATTGCGAAGAATTTTCAGGTTTTATTGATGCACAAGTTTCAATTTCCGGTCCAATAGGCAGATCTCAATCTGCGAGTACTGCGAGAAGACGTTTTTAACCCGAGGGCTCAAGCACCACCAGAACCACTGCAAAAGCAAGGAAGCCTGGACAGAGTCCCATAATTTTCGATCGTACGGCTTCTGCATCCTCAATGAATATGCTTTCGAGAACATTCTCAGTTTTCTGGGCAATCAGACGCTCACCAAGCTGCAGATGATCACTGGAGATCGCTACTCGAACTGCGAGCCTCACCTTGCCACCTATTGCTGCAAGTGTGAGAACGACAACCTCGCAATTTTCTTCCACAAGTGCAGAGATTGTGAGATTGAAGCCGAGAAGTCCTATTATCTCGACCCCATTCGCATGAGCGTCACGATCAAAAAGTCCTACTAAATCGACTCCATTCGTAGAGTCGACGCGAAGAAGAAGTTCGGCGTGAAGGACTTTTCCAATTTTCCTGAAACTACACGAGGAAGCGGGCTGTATGACCGAGATTTCCTAGAAAAGCACATGCTGGAACGATATGGATCAAAACTGGGTTGGTTGAGGGAAATCGCTGCGCAAGATGCAACGAGGGAAAACGTAAAAAGGAAGGAAGCCGAGCGTCGCGCTCTGATAGCGAAATTAGACCCGAATTCAGGGTCTACTGCAGCAGCTTTGGTATGTGCACTATCACTCTGGTGCGTGGGAACAAGAAGGTTGCAGAGCTGGCAGCAGAACTTAAACGCCGCGGAGCTCCGACCCGTCCAGACTTGCAGTATTGCTGAGAATTTATAATGACGAATCATGGGGGGGGGGGGGAAGAAGTGGCAGACAACATGGAAGAGAAACATTTCCTCTTCAAGCAAACGAAATATCCACGACTGAGCGGAGATGATTTCGATGCTTATCGAGAAGTGTGTATGCCTAGTTCTCGTGAGTCTTATTGGAGTAAGGAAAGTGAGTGGAAGGAGATCAAAGCGATTCTGTGCGTGGAGTATCTACGTGTCAACAAGGGGCTTACACTCCCACAGAAATGGGAGCGCTGTCGTTCGCGCTTTGATGAATTGATATCACGAGGCGACGATCCAAGTCTAAAGGCGCTTTCCGTTTACTTGGGTAAAGATACTTTGGTGGAGGTTGACACTAAATAACCCATAAAGCTTCTGCGTAAGAATCTTAAAGTTGGGATTCTAGTAACTACAGAGCTATGTGTTGATAAATGCGCTAGAGAGTTTATAACGAATTGAGTGTAATAACTGTATACTAGAGTGAGGCATCACTTTCATTTAAAACGCTGGTCTTTCCGCACAACTACCGGGTTCTTCGTGTAATAGTGGTTACGGTTGGTTACCTAGGGCATCTTGCTGACTGGGGCTGGCCATAACAATTACTTACGATCGCCTCTTCCAATTGATGAAACGTATCTACCCCACGCTCTTCCAGTTTAATCTCAGCTCCTGGCCCAATGCTTTTGATCGATTGACCAGGCTGCTGTCTGTCGCCTCCGGGACGATCTCCTGTCGCTTACAGCTACTCACGTTCGATTTCGGGACAACAAACACCAGTGCTGCTCGCTTCGAATTGCTGTGCATCGCCTCCAACAAACTAAATTTGTTTAAGACCGAGTGATTTCAGACGTTTTGACAGGATGCACCATTGAGAATGTCACCTTGAACATGATCACACGATTCTGTGCATCGGTATTCCAAGCGATGACATCTTCTGCTGCAGCCATCGAACTACTATCGATCAGGTTCATCTTCGGGAGATAGGATAGAACCAGTCAATCGACTCAAGTGCTTCAACTCCATTTATGATACGACCCACGCGCCGCTGCAACTGGCGGCAAATTCTTGATCTTGAAAAGATCGACGTGAAGACTCGCTGAAAATCGCTTGGCCAGTTGCGCATCACTCCTGCTAGCCGTAGTATCAGCAGTCCGCAACAATCGCAATTCAAACTTAACTGCTCATGCACTTTGGCCTAGAAAACAGGGGTCCCGAAATGCAGTTATCAGATTAATACTTTTTATACAATTCTATTTTCTATATAATATATAATAGCAGCCGATAAAGCAATAATACCTAGCTTACAAATTACCAGTATTAATTTAATTCGAATATGGCTTGGAATTAGTCACAATAATTTTAAAAAATCGAATGTATTTTTATGAGTATTATTTTTTTTCGAGACCCCTTAAAAACCCATGCACACAGTGATGCACTTTGCGGTGTTCTTTCTAGCGAAGTGCACAGGCTCGTTCTGTCGTCCTTAGCCAATTTCAGCAGATGGAGCGCATGGCTTTCTTCGACAAAAGGAGTCGCGAGCTTAGTATCCACATAGGGTCCTCTCCAGGTTCGTAATGGAGAATACGATGGAAACATCAGGCTTTCCCACACCTTTGATGAGATTTTGAAGTTCTGTCGTGTCGGAGAGTTGTTCAATCTCGCGGTGTGAAACGCGTTTCTTCCTTTCAACGATAGAATCCTCTTGCACAAGGCATTCGCGGACCACTCCACCAAACGTGTAAAACCGCTCCTCGTTAATATCGTCCATAATGCAATTTTCTCCACTGGATTCCGTGAGATCGACCGCGCAGGCCGCCTCTCTAAACTCCTTGCATGTTCAAAGAGGCATGTAGATAGAGCAATCATCCTTCCGTAGTCTCAGCCATTATTCGTTCGGTCTAGTAAACACTACCCTCTGGCCACCTCAAGGAATCGTGCCCGTCACACAAGAAAAAATGCTTCTTTAAGGATTGCATCTATATATACCCCCACTGTGCTGTTGGTAATCGCCATCCTCGTCATTCGTGAAGACCAAAGCTTGCTTCACGCCCGAGTTTTTGTTGGCCAGTGCAAACATACAAATGTTCCTCACCTCCTTCCGGAAGTGCTGAAAAAAATAATCGACTTGTCGATGCCTTCCAAAGAATAACCTCGCATAAGATTTAAGCATCCCCGCTAAATGTTTATCTATTGTGCCGTTCAAGTCACCTGGTGTCCCCTCACAGCCACGCATTCCGCTCCTTTCAGCCGAAGCAGCATTTTCTTCTCAAGCCGGTAGTATTTCTCATAGCACTCGCCTCTAGTAGTAAGAATTGAAGTTTTCGGACGGTTGTACGAATTGCAGGGGAGGCAGCTCTTGTGAGAAGCCAATGCCGTCCTTTAAGACTGCTGCATTGCCGGTATTGGTAGATTCTGGTGTCTTATTATCCATCGCCGTCTTCTGCCTTTTCGGTCTCGGTAGCCCTTCGATCATTCTTTCTCTTGCAGATAAATCTCTTTTACCATACTTAACCATTAATATTTCTGTGAAAGCAGTTTGTGATCTACTGGACAGCCCAAACAGTGAAGCCAGTAATTGGAGCCGGTAACCGAAGCCGGTGCATTGAATCGAGGAGCTTAGTAGACTGTGCACACTGCCGCATACATTAAGGCTGTCGACACTTCGAGAAAGTGATTTTCAACAAAATGCATTTATGAAATTTCAGCATTCATTTTAAGCTTACAGCACTTGCTGTATTATGCTCTGTTTTCTTATGTAGCAGATAGCTCCCATAAATAAAAATGCCATAATCGGGAGCCCTGCTTAAAGTCGCAGGGAAGTGCTCTGCCTTACTCTAATTGCCACACCCGTGATGATAACATCCGTCACTTCACACCAGGGAACCCAACTGGCAAGGGCTGGTCGAGTTCAAAATGACGCACCTCGTGCCGCAGTTCTGAGGCCAACTGCGAGACCTCAAGTGACTCTAGCGCTATTTTGCGCTTCAACAGCTTCGAGATCATTGCTTGTGATGAAACCAGAGGGGGATCGTGTATTCTGTGAGCCCATAAAGCTACCTCTTTTTGGGACAGAGTGGGGTTTTAAACGTGGTGCTGGCAAATTTGTAGTCGTTGAGCCCTATGAGTGAGGCGATGCCGGAGATGGCATCCTGGTGTGGCGAGTCAAAACTGGCGATGATATGGACGAGGAGCCTGAAGTGAACCGCAACCATCCCCCTTACTGGATTTTGTGCACTACAGATATTTGGACCCATTTTTGTAGTGCATTCAGGATAGGAATACCCTTAGACAGGAATAAATTGGGACCACTGGTACACACCCGAACAATGACTTACCCGGTACGGGTACCCCTGCCCGCTCGACAGCAGTTCCCAGGTACCCGGATATACCCGCCTGTATTTTGTGTTTATTGTTTTCGTTGACAGATTGCTTTTTTACCCACAACTAAGGAGTCATCCAGCATACCAAGGTAGCTGCTTCGTGAGAATTCTGCCTTATACGTGGTATTTGTGACCTACATCTCGCGTTCGAGTTACAAGCGTTACCCAAAGTAAAAGTGAGACTTTTTGTCTGCTGCTTCCGTAAACTTAAGTGGGTTAGCTGCAGGGGGTCACCCCCCCAGAGCGCTATGACTGCCGAGGGGAAATTGGCAGGCAGCATGAACAAAAATTACTCTCAATGTTTTGTCGAGTAAATAATATGGATAAAAACAAACATTTGATAAATCTGCCCAATCTATTTGAATAATGCACGAGATTAGCCCGTGAACTGTTCGAACACGCGCTCTAGCGACAACTCGCTGACACTGTACTGCGCGATGTGGAAGCGCTTCTTGTTCTCCTCCATAAGCGCGAACACATCCGCCAGTCCGAAGTTGTCAGTGCACGAGGTTTCATACACTCCACTCGTATTACTACCACTTCCACGCGCAGTTTCGAGCTCAGCAGACACCACAGACTCACCGGATCTCGAAGTAACCTGGTCCTTAAAGAGCTTCGTCTCAAGACAAGCAAAGGCTTCCTGCAAGAGCCACTCCTGTACGAACTCGACAATCGGTATAGCCGGCTCCGTCTTGGACTCCTTATTAGGAGTCACTTCGTTCTCATCCGACTCAAAACGAGATCGAAGTCCTGCCAACCACGTTTTTCCATGCTGTCGAGAAACCGCAGCAGTAGCCGCATCTCCGTTCTTGTGGAACAGGTTATGACACAATTCCCAGGCATCCTCCAACTCCCGTAATGGAATACTATTCCTCTCCAATCCTTCTCTACGAGCACTCGTTGTCGGTCTATCTTTGATCGAACGTCGGATCTGCTCTGTGTAGTTCTGTATCTCTGCAGTACTCCAAATAGAGGAGCTATCCAGTCGCACGCTAATGGAAATTCCTCTCGACACACGCTGCTTCAAGTCTGGAATACTGCCACACCACACCACTTTCCCCTTAAAGAGCACCACAGCATTCGCACAAACCGCTTCAGCCTCCTCCATACTGTGCGTAGTGAACAAACAACTCGTACGGTTATGACTCTGTCTCTTCTCATGAAGAACACGCCACATCAGTCGTCTAGCCACCACATCTACACCAGCGGAAGGTTCATCCAGCAGCAACAACGACGTGTGGTCACTCAGTAGCGCCAATGCCAACATAAGTCTCCTCTTGTTGCCCCCACTCAAGTGTGAAGCTGCAGTATTCTCGACCGGGAACAGATCCAGACGTCGCATAAGCTCATCAATCACTACACCTTCTGACATCAACGCGTTGCTGCGACTACATCGCAGACGGTAGAAGAGTTCGAGGTGTTCACGGACACTCAGGTCGTTAAAGTAATGGTTGCCTTGTGAGCAGTAGCCGTATCTAACGCTGGCTTCTCGAGGCTGCACAGTCACGTCACACGAGTCGATCAACGCTTTGCCACTTGTGGGTGCAATTCCAGCCGTTAAGATCTCAAACATCGTCGATTTACCCGAGCCATTGACACCCAAAAGCGCCACACAATCACGTTTCTCCACTGAGAAGCTGACATCATTTAGAGCCACCACTTGGCCACTTTCATTCAACATTGCAGCAGCTTCTTGCTCTTCTTCTTGTGTCTTCTTTCGAGGGTTGAAAACCTGCGAAACTCGAACCACACGCACCATATCGGAATTGGGACTTTCTTCGTCAAAAGCGGCAGGACTTTGGTCAGCTTCCGTGTACCCCTGACTGCTACTACGGCACGGTAAAAGGCGTCGTATCCAGCGTAATTTGTGCTGCATTTTGTGTTCCATCAACGTAGGGTACATCTGATACTGGTCCATGATCAACAGTAGCACCGTATACAACACTCCTGACACCACCAGAGCAAACCAACAGCTTCCAGTCACTTCCCACGCCCACACCGACACCTTCGGTTGTCCGATGAGCCCTTCTAGCATGGCAAAAGGGTTGCCCGTCTCAATATCTCCACCCACTTCAAGACACTGCCGTCGCATGGGAGCCCAAGACACCGTCACGATGTTCAGCACTGCAGTACTGAACGAATACAGCGGTAAAAACTGCAAAAAGTACGTGACAAAGTCCACCTGGGCACACAAACCAGGGACCATGGACAACGCAAACACGATCGACGCCGCCATGATCTGGAATAACGAGAGATACGACATGTACGACTGCGCTGAAGAGTGCGACGCGAAGACCAGGGAACTCAAATACTGCGCCGGGAGAATCGACAGCCCGAAAATGGCCATCGAAGCAAACCATGCTGCGATGATTTCGGCGGTTAAACAGCCCGAGAAGATGGAGAGAATGATGCAAATAGTGATGGTCGCTGACGTGTATACCATGTAGTCGAACAGGAAGTTGGAAAGCCAATACAAAGATGACGCGTTGGCAGTCTCTAGATGCTGGTACTGTATCCGCTTCAAGCCGCTTTCCTTCTCTCTTACGACCGGCGCCACGTAGAATCCGACCACCGAACTCATCGTCATTAACAGGTAGAACGCCACCATGATACGTCGTACAACGTTCACTGCTTCATCAGGATCCAACGATACGCCGTCCTCCTCGTCGCTAGTCACTCCGGTACCAATCTCAAGCTCAATCGGGAATATTCCGCGCTTCACTACCAGGTCGCAATTGTCAATTCCAGGGGAGTTTTCGTGGATAGAGCGAGCCTTGCAATATGCTTGGGATATCCACTGCAACGTCACGGGCAGAGCGCGACGCACTGTTTCGTTGTAGTAGAGTGAATACGACATCACTGGAATCGTAATAGTGTTGTCAGCTGTCCAGTTCACGTTCGATACGAAGATTCCAGCGAAAAACGTGGTCGAATTCTCACGTGCAATGGCATCCAGCATCTCCTGTTCGGTGGTAGTGCTCTTATCAAACATAATCGGGTGCGAATTTTGCTCCAATTGCGCGACTAAATCCGCCACTGAATCGGTCATGGATGATGCAGAAGAGATGAAGAAGGACGCGTCTGTAGCAGCTGGAGACAACGTTGATATTGTCTCGATAGATCCACGAGAGTCGAGCATTTGCTGAAGAACTGCCATCATGATCGCGAAGAAGCCAATCGGCCACACGTACTGAGCAAATAACGACTTTTTGTCACGATAAGACATCTTCATACGCTTGATAATAAGCGCACGAAGTTGAGACACCGAGTGTTTCCATCCAGGCAGTTTGCGGTCAATACCGGTAGTTCGCAGATCCATTTTCTTGACCTTCTCATCCTCCATCTTCGAACGTACAGGGTCTGGATTGTCAGTTGTATCGTCCTCCACGTCGTCTTTTGCGTGGTAATACACGTCCTCTCCCTCTGTCACTTTGACAAACACATCTTCCAAGTCAGTCGCTGCGATGGCGTATCGTTTGATAATTCCGTTCTTCTTCATCGTCTCCAGTTCTCTAAACAACTCGGCAAAACGTTTTTCTTCGCCATCATTCAGTTGTACACGCGTTTCCCACTTGTTGTCACTCACAATCGCAGCATTCGGGACGTATTTCCTCAACATGGACATCAAAAGATCCGCCCACGCTTCACGTTGCGATCGTCTAGACTCACTCTCTTGGTCATCCTCATGATGCACAACCGTGAGTTTATAGCCCACGCCAAAGCGATTGCGAAGGAACAAACTGGAGCCGCAACATTTCAGCTTTCCTTCCGCCACAATGCCGATATTTTCACACAAAGCCTGTGCTTCCTGCATCGAATGTGTCGTTAAGATCACCGCTCGATGTGTTACAGCACGCTTTAGAGCGTCCCACGTGTCTAACCGCGCCTTCATGTCCATACCAGCCGTTGGTTCATCCAGCAACAAGACGCGAGAGGAGTCCAAAAGTGACAATACGAGAGATAACTTACGTTTCTGACCTCCTGAAAGAGTCTTCGCTAGTGCATCACGCTTCTCATCCAGTCCGAATTGCTGTAATTTACTGTACCAGGTTTGTTCCGGCACCGTTTTAACACCCATAGTGGCTTTAAGTGCACAGACCAGTGACAAATGCTCCCATACAGTCAAGCTGTCGAACAGAATATTCTGCTGGAAACACACACTCAGACTGGTCCGAACTGCTTGTGGGTTGTTCGCCACGCTGATAGATCCACCCACATACGCATCGCCACTCGTAGGGGATAAAATTCCACTCAAAATCGACAACGTCGTGCTCTTTCCAGCACCGTTCGGACCCAAAAGTCCGAAAATCTCTCCTTTACGTACTCCAAATGATACGTTCCTCAACGCCACTTTCCCGTTCGGATATGTTTTCGACAAGGATTGGACGAACAAAGTGGGTCGGAAATGTTCCAAATACTCTGGTAAGGATTGCTCACGTAGTGTATCGTCCATCTGCTCGTTGATATTATCTCGTCCCATGTCGGTCAGTCGCATGGATTCTTCGTTTTCCTCTTCAGAGCCCTGTAAATCCACCTTTTTAGGGAACCAGTAGGACGGCTGGAAGACGAAATACCACTTCTGTTGCACTCCGTGTGTGCGAGGGAACACGTTCTCCAAATACCATCCAAGTAGCAAGTACCCTGCACACTGAGTAGCCATCAGACGAATAGGTGTTGCAACGGTATGATAAGTGATTGCTCTGTGCTCTAACGTCACTGCATCAAACGCCAAGATATCGTGCATTGTGCCCATGAATACGACGGGAGAACTAATCCCATCCAGTACAAAGAGTAACAACGCTAGTGACTCGTTTGAAGCCACCGCATCGTCGCCCACCAGCGATTGAATAAACGATCCAGCGCTCATGATGAAGTAAATCAACGGAGCACATGCTGCAGCTGTCTTCGTTTGGTTGAAAATCGGGGTGATAGCGATGCCAAAAAGCAGAATACTGGACACGAATGTCACTAAAAGCAGGAAGAAATAAAATTCTCCATCAGTTGTAGCAGCGAACATACTGCCACTGAGTAGCCATGTGCCGATAAGGGACACGACTGCTGATGCCAAAAAGTAGAGTAAAAACCAACTGATCAAAAGTGACATCGCTGGCAACCCCATGATCATCAGATATTCCTTCAGCTGCTTTTCCTTCTCAGATACGACGTCACGTACCAATCGCACGTATGGCCAGAGAAACAAATAGGCCAAGTAGAACACGATATTTCCCTCCAGTGGGCCAGCAACAGTGTTCGCGGGGCGCTTCGGCAGCGCAGATACCGTCAAAGTATCCAATTCGTCACCAGAAATCGCCTTGGCGATGAGATTTGCCAGAAAATACCGAAGTTCAGCCGATAAACCTCCTTTTTTCACTGCAACTTTGCATGCCGGCACACTTCGTCCCAGTGGCGATGTTGATGGAAAATCTCCCCATTGAAGACTGGCAACATCCAGCATTTTATCCACAGCTTGGCAGATAATATCCGGAGACAGCGAATTGAGATTCACGATCTCGTTATTGACAAATTTGGTCGAATTTTCACGAATAAACATGTTCAACGACATTTGGAACGGCATAACATCGGGGAACATCAGCGTGCGGTTAAACGTCAAGTCTTTGGAGAAAAACTTGGACAATTGGTCTTCCGGTTCTTGTTCGGACGGGTCGTTGAGGGTTTTCTGGTAAAATAGTGCTAACAATTCCAATGGGTGCGAAACATCGTCGTCACTTTCAGTTTCTGCTCTTCTCACATCCAGACCGGCATAAATGTTCCATCCGCTTTTCATCGGATATTCCAACATCACGCGGTTGGCCTCTGCATTCGACGCAGAGCTGTTAAACGGGATAAGCTTGGTTTTATCCGCGTAACTGGAGATGCCCAACTCAGTCGCGGCGGGATATTCCCTATACACAATATTATAAAGAATTATCAGTTTTTTTGATCGAGATATGGATATTATCATCCCATTTCGTTTACCTGTTGAGATGTTGCAGAAACAGTTGCGAGTCTTGCCGTTGCAAAATTGCCAAACTTTGGTTGCTTTTCGCCAGTAGCAATGGCAAGGCGGCAAGCAATAATGTCGCAAATTCGTGTTTCACTTGTTGCACTCCTTGCGTCAGTTCTTCTGTCATGTCGTTTTCATCTTGTGCCATCATAGCTCGTTCGGTCTGCAACAAATTACCATCACTCTCGACGTCCATGGCATGCCGCATGCCCCCGAAGCCCGGGATTCCTCCGCCGGGCGTCACCAACTGCGCGTTGTATTCGCACATTTTCTGGATAAGCAGCAGGATAAGCCCCAGCGGGATGATGATGTCCGTCACGAGCGCCGGGTACAGCCAGCGTTTGCCGAGCCGGTCGCGGTTAAAGCGGCTCTCGCGCTGCTTCACGCGCCAGTTCTTCCATAGCAGCACGCCCACGCTGCTCCACAGACCTGCCATCTCTCCAACTGAGTAATGGCGCGTGCCTAAGTGGGCAGCAGGATTCTGAGCGGGATGGGAACGACGCTGACTCCGACGGCGTTGAATGACATTCACTCATCATATCCGGATAA